CCCCCCCCCCCCCCCTCCCCCGGCAGACTACCGTCATGCCTGTAATTTCAATAAGTTTATTTTCTTGATATTCCCTTCTGCTGCAGCTTATTAAGTTCTATACGTAAGGAAAATCTTTTCTCCTGAAGTTTGAAAATTACTTTTTCTTTTAAACAAAAAGAAAAACTATCTACACAATGATCTCAGATGATCTACCAAATAAAGTAAAGTTGAACTTTGCACGTGACCAGATGTGAATAGTTTGCTGTGATTGGTCGGTACTGCAAGGTGTACACGCGGTGAGTTATACTACTAAAGGCTGGTTGTTAGACAGACATTCCCGTTATTTTCAATTCAAGAATAAGTATTTACGAGGAAAGAATACTATCCTACCTTCGGTAAGTTAAAATATGTAAATATATATTATATTTAATATACGAAATGCAAGATTTTTGTTCTAAACGCGAGAATTTTGCCAGTATTTTTTTATTTCGCTCGATCGCCGACATGAATTTTAATTCAACTGAAAATGAGACTGCTTTCGCAATTAGTCTTTCACTGTCGCCTCGAAACCGAGATTTTAAGTCAAAATATCTAACAATCAAATGCATATGTTTTATATTTTATAGTCAGAACTTGTTTATAGACTTGACACATTTGTAAAAACCGGTTAATAAAGGGAATATTGTAGACCTACTTTAGCGACTTATAGACCCTCGTCATTTGTTTACTTTTTGCAGTTTACTCAAAAGAAAAAATGATAGAATTTTAAGATTTTGTTGAAGCCTAAGAGACAGAAATCAGGGTTGTTTTGAATGCGGGATCGTAGGTCTTGGAAATTATGATTGTAAAACATGCTCTGTTAGGTGAAAGACTGCCCTTGCAACCTGATACGGGCGATTCCAAGTTGCGGAAATTGCATCAGAAACATTTAAAAAAAAGTTATGTAAATCTGTCATTTTTTAGTTTTTAGCGATAGCTACATATTGTGTTTGAAATCATGCAAACATTACCTTAGTTGTTTCTCTTTAAGTAAGCAATTTAAAAAAGGAAAATTTCTATCTTTAAGGCTGTTTGAGTACCTTGGGGTTAGGGTTAGGGTTAGGATTGGGGAAGGCTTTGTAGGAATAAACAAAGGTTCATAGACTCGTAGGCCGAGTAGGCTGCATAGGCTGAGTAGGCTGCGTAGACAGAGAGATGAAAAATACACTGAGAATTCACATGAAGAATTAATCACCAAGTAGGCCTCGCACTTTCCTTAGAAATGGCTTTCATTTGGCGGGGTATTCTATAGTTATTCCGCTCGATCCCTGTGAATATTAAGTTGCTTAAAGTAAGCAAATATATCTTCTAACATCGTCGTTAGGGACTAACATTGTCTACCTATGTTAAGAAAATTTCAAAAATTATTATCGATTAGTATTGGAAATCGATGACCAATCAATGCCACGAACATCTGTGACCTTCTATTAAATCTAATAACAAAATATTACATTGATTGATGATCAATCGATGATTGATATTCAGATTGGCATTCCGTCTTGTGACCTATCGATCGGTCATAGATTGTCCGATACCAATATTGATATCAATCAACTATTTATATCGATTGCTATCGAGTCATCAATTGCGCTTTCAATGATGGATTTCCACCGATTGCCTACGCTGGGAAAACAATGTGTTGTGGACATTACACTCTGGAATGTTGCCTTAAAATTCAAGTTGATCTATTTGTATTAGTAAAGAAGATTAAAGTAAGTTTCTTTGTGTTTATCATTGGTTTAGATGTCACTAAGGCACATGGCTAACTCACAAAATGAGATTGAGACTAAAACATTACCTCTGGGCTGAGTAAAGTCAGGGCATGGGGACTGTTATTTACGGTGCTTCTCAATAATAAGCACAAAATTGTAAAAACTTATCTAGACAAAATAAGGTTTTGGTGGAGGTTAACTAAAGTGTTTCCTTGACATTGCCGGAAAACACAAACCTTTGAGGGCACATGTCTATGGAATGTTGTGAAAACGCCTTGACGTCCACCAAAACCTACTTCCTCACCACGGCAAAGTGTACGATTTCGTGTGTGATTGGGAAGTGCCGAAAATAAACATTAAGGTGGCTGCCTGCTTTTGAACGTTCGATTTGAGCCCACGATGTGCGCGCGCTCAAAAACTGCTGAAAAATCTACAAGATTTTATTGAAGAACCATACGCGTTTTGAGCTTCAAAAGGGCAAAACCCTCAAATTTTGCACGGGACTCTATATTTTTTGATAGCTCATTCGAAAAAACTCCTAAAGATCTAGGTTATATCAACATTTTAGGAAAAGTTTAAATCAGGAACACATGAAAAAATAGATTTTTGTAGGGATTTTTGTTTGACTTTATGAGATTTTTTAAGAGCACCGAAACTACAAAATATGACAAATCAATGTATCTCTCTGTCTTTTTGTCAAAAATATCCATGTATTATTGTAGAAGGATTGACTAGCCTTCATTCGTGCAATCATATAGTCTGCAAATAACTATTATCTTATTAATCTTAATTTTTTTCTAATCACTTCTGGTGGCGCAATTTTTACTCCAAAAGCTCATGCGTAGGCTTTCATTAAATGCTGATTATCTTGAACACGAGCTCGGGACACCCTATTTTTCTTTCCAGGTTTGGAATCAGCATTAAATTTCAATTCGGAAAATCAAAGTTTTAAAAAAAGCTTTAATCAATTTCCAAAAGTAGGCAGTCACCTTAAAATACTTGGTAGCTGAAAACTGCATGGTGATATTTCATTTCTTGCTGCCGTCATTTTGTACCTTTCACATTTTTTTGACTGTGGCAGTGAAAAACCAAAATCCAACAGGCAAATGGGAACTTCAGAGTTTTCATGTTTATCAAAAAAGCCAACTTAACTCTCAATCACAAATCAAACTTTTGGCTTGTCTCAGTGATCAGCTATCTCACAGATCAAACTTAGGTTAAATTAAAATTAAGCATTTTAATTAGATTTTGTTGATGTATGGAAACCATAGAATCCTAAGAAAAACCCTTGAATCAAAGGTGTTCGAACAATGAAACTCATAAATACCTCAACGGCAAGTCTGTTAATTGGACCTTTCAAACTTGAACCTGAGAAGTGATAGGGGAGTGAACTGCTAATACGAGAACGTTGACCCTCATTCCACTTCAAATAATGGGTGTAGAAATTTTTACGTAAGGTTTGCTACAAATTATTCATGTTATGTACATATTCACTTTACCTTTTCCAAACTCTGATTAAAAAAATTAATTTAATTTTTTTTTGCTTTCAATCTATAGGATACAAATATTGTTTGAACATTAATTGCTGTGTCAAAAATGGGCCTAGGACAACAAGAACCTGCTACTCCTACAATTGAAATTATTCAAGACCTTGAAAACCAATCCAAGTCCTCTTCACCAATATCTGTACCATCAACACCTCTGAGTCTAATCGAAAAAATCAAAAACAAAATTGCCATGGATGAAAAATTTTTCTCCTTGGAGTTTTTCCCTCCGAGAACTCCAAATGGTGCCGTGAATTTGTTGGGGAAATTTGATCGTGCTGCGAGAGGATGTCCAATGTTTTGTGATATAACGTGGCATCCTGCTGGGGACCCAAGTGGGGACAAGGAAACAAGTTCTATGACAGTTGCGAGTGCTGCTTTGAATTATTGTGGGCTGGAAACTATGTTACACATGACGTGTGCTAATACAACAAAAGATGATGTGACTAAGCATTTACAAAAGGCCAAAGGACTAGGAATAAGGAACATTTTGGCTCTTAGAGGCGGTAAGTCTATTTAGAATAATTCAATAAATTGATCATTGCTTCGAAGTTTGAGTAGCGTTTCTTACAGGATTTGGAACGACCCTCTGAGTACTGATAATGCAGATGTTCATGACCTAGCTTGCATTGGTATAGAAAATTATATATTTAAAAAGTTTCATATTTTTAATTGGCTTTCTTTTATGGGTAAAGGGGATTGTTGTGTCGTCTTAGTTTATCTTTTGTTGTATTCTATTGTTAGCACCCACAATGTCTTGCGACCCAATATGGCCACCATATTGTAGAAGGTAGTCTATTCATTATTTATTGACTCTCAGCCATCCATCATCAGTAACAAACATCAGACAATTTTGTCAAAGCTAGTCTAGCTATACAAGTTGCATTCATGAATTCATAACTAAAAATATGCAAAACCAATGACATGGGAAATACTGTCTCATACTCTATGTGCTCAAGAGAAATTTTGGCTGTGCCCCCTAAATTTTTTTGGGTAGAGGGGAGAGGTAGAGAGGAGGAAAAAATGGTTCGTAAAGAGAAGCCCTTCTACTTGTTGATAGAAAATTCTGGATAAATGTGTGTCCTGAAGAACAATCAAAGTCTATAGATATTGTAATTCACCAAAAGCACTGCATAAAAAAACATGGCCAAATTCCCTCTAGCTTCATCATACCTCATTTCTGGCTCAAGGTTTAAATTGCTACTAATCAACTAAAGATACAAGTTACAATTTTGGCCAGACATTGTAGATAATGGGCTGATATCCATCTTAATTAGCCCTGCCAAAACAATACAGTCAGATTATACAGAAATAACATTTGTTATTGTTTATTTTGAACAGATCCACCAGATGGTGATGAATGGAAAGCCCTTGACGATGGGCTAGCATACGGTACAGATATGGTCCGACACATCAGGAAAGAGTTTGGAGATAACTTTACTATTTGCGTAGCAGGTATATAACTGATCTTTGCTGTCAATCATTTTCTATTACTGTAGAATAAATGGGAACCATAATTTATGTTAAAATTACTATGCTGTTATAACTGGATTGATTAACTGTGAATAACTATATTCCAAGACTACCCATTGTAGAGCATTCATTTTTTGATAGTGGGTAAGTAAGATTCAATAGATATAAGCGGTTTCTTCCCTCCTCCTCCTCCCGGCCCCCCACTCCAATTTGTAACTATTTATCAAATTGAGCCGATCCACACAGTATATGAAGCAACTTATGCAGCTGTAAATTGAAAGACTCAGAAAAAATTCTCTGTCTTGATTATTATGGAATCAATTTGCAGCTGCATAAGTTGCTTCATATACTGTGAGGATCAGCTCAATTTGATAACATTACAACCGCAGTACAAATATATACTTTATATATATTCTCATACTTGTACATATTTGTACCTATTTATTTTTCAATCTCTTAAAAGTATACCCTATAATGCCACTCTTTTTAATTTCTTTCCAAATCCTCTCTCATTGTATCACTACACAGGATACCCAGCTGGACATCCTGACTGTAACAACTATCAAGAAGATATTCAACATCTAAAGGAGAAAGTAGATGCTGGAGCTGATTTTATCATCACTCAATTGTTTTTCGAAAACAAAACTTTTTTTAAGTTTGTGAAAGATTGCCGTGAAGTTGGTATTACTGTGCCAATTATACCTGGAATTCTTCCAATCCAGGTAAATAAAAATAGCTGATTTTCTGTTTGATGGTCACAATGTGATCGCCATCTTCATCGACATCATTATCATTATCATAATTGTCTTTATCATCACCATTGTCATGTACCATCATGACCATCCTCATGATCATCATCAATGCCATCGTCATGATCATCGTCATTGCCATCATCATGATCATCACCATAACCATAACCATCATCATGATCATCACCATAACCATAACCATCATCATGATCATCACCATCATCATTGCCATCTCATGCACTATCATCATCTTGTTCAATTCCACCATAATGAATGCTATCAGCATCAATGCTTTCATCATCATCATCATCATCTGGAACCACCATCGCCATCTCCCTCCTTTTTCCTGCTCATCATCATTGATTTTCATAATTTTGAACATCAGCTCATTAACAATATTTTGCATATTTTTATTTTTGGATCATTTTAACACTAAACCCCAATAGGAGATAATTAAAATATACATTCAACATATTATGGATACAAATATGAGTTAATGTGTTGATGTTTACATAGGGAGGGAGATGGGAGGCTTTACGATTGTTCCGGCTTCCCATTGGTTCGCCTACTGAAGTTCGCCTACGTATCTTCTTTTTCTTGAACACCTTGGACAATTATTCCCAGGTCTCTATCTTTGCAAGCTCATCGTTTGTCTTGCTGCGATGCAAAGGCATGGCTACCTTTTAAGATGGCGCAGGGAACTGTGAAGGGGACTATTAAATGTGTCAGAAATTCCAGGCATGTGTGGTTGTCTAATCTGAAGTCATATAATTATGAAAATGAGCATTAAAAAAAGAATTTTAAATTTAAATTTCAGGGGTATGCATCTCTTCGGCACTTGGTTAAACTTTCAAGATTAGAAATACCTCAGTCAATCATTGACGCTCTTCAGCCAATAAAAGATGATGATGAAGCCATCAGAAAACTAGGCATTCAAATGGCTCTTGACATGTGCAGGGAGCTTCTGGATAGTGGTATTGTACCTGGATTGCATTTTTACACACTAAACCGTGAAATTGCAACAAGAGAGATTCTGTGTGCGTTGGGCTTATGGTGCAGCGATCCTGCAGCTAGCCGTCCATTACCATGGAGAGCATCAGCCAATCAGAAGAGATTCACTGAAGATGTGCGACCTATATTTTGGGCATCAAGACCAAAGAGCTATCTTTACCGCACTTCTGAATGGGATGAGTTCCCTAATGGCCGTTGGGGCAACTCTTCTGCCCCATCATTCCGAGATTTATCGGACCATCATTTTTTTTATTTAAGAAGCCGAGCAAAAATAGATGAAAGATTAAAAATGTGGGGAACAAAGTTGGAAAGAGTGGAAGATGTGTATGAAGCATTTAGTTGCTATATCTCTGGGAAAGAAAACAGAGAGGGAGTCAAGGTAAATGAGTAGATTAAGTTCATTTAAAAGAATGCACTGTTTTAGGGCTAAAGTCTTGTGTGAACCTTGATTCATTGTCAAAGTGATATATCAGAACATTACTGTTAGATGGGTCTAGGGCCTACTGCAAGTGGGATAAAATACTTTTAGCACGACAAGATGTCTTGACGAGATAAAGTTTGGATAATATGTTAATAATATTACACCACCTCTTGTCATTCATTTGTTGGTTTGTTCATTCTTTATTTTGTTTTTTCATTCCTTCCTTCGTTTCTTCGTTGGATTGTTTGTCCTTCCGTTCGTTCATTTCTTTGTTAGGCTTAGAAATAATAACTTGATATGGCTTGCCACTGTAGACTGATCAGAGTGACTAGTCAATGTGAATGGTCAAGAGAGCTGCCCTAAGAGTCATTTGGCTGGACAGGTGCCAAGTTTCAGGGTTYGTGCAGGTCCTTGAACTCCTTGAAAAGTGCTGGAATTTAAAATGCATTTTCAAGGGCACTTGAAACTCCTTGAAAGTAGAAAAAAAGTAGAAATGTCCTTGAATACTCCTTGAAAAAAATTGTTCATGAAAAAATGTCAGTAAAACTTTCAAGATATGTAAACCATGAGTCGTCGTGATTGGTTAAAATTAGAGATTTTCACTACCTCRAGGGAGAAGCATCTTTCTATTATTTTTTGCTTTCCAGAACTTAGTGGCCCAATGTGGCATGGATATCATGTGACAAATTCGCACATCTTGATTGGCATTTTCTTCAAAATAAAACCCTCTTAAGAGTTACTCCTTGAAAAAGTCATTTTGGTCCTTGAATACTCCTTGAAAACTCCTTGAATAATTTCTTGGGAACCTAGCACGAACCCTGAAGTTTGAGTCCACATTGACCATTTTTAGCTGTGCTGGTTGCAATCTCCTTATTTAACAAATATCATAGTCACAAATTTATAAAAGAATTCAACAAAGGGGTAACCATTTCTCGAAAATTAATTTTCCAGGTCAAATCTCTGCCGTGGAATGATGATGAGCTGGCTTCAGAGACTGACATCATCAAAGCCAAACTTGAATATTTGAACTCTGAAGGCATTTTAACAATAAACAGTCAGCCAGCTGTGAATGCAAAACCATCCACAGACCGTTTGGTGGGCTGGGGAGGTGAAGGAGGTTACGTCTATCAAAAGGTATCTTATAAAAATAATGATAACATCCTTCCATTGCATCTGTAGTCCCATTGCCGAATTCCCTATATGTATGAGGACTGGGTTGCAACTAGACACTCATGAAAACGATGTAACTAATGTTACCATTTCCAAGTGATTTTTGGTTCATTTGGTCACAATCCGGCTGCATTTGTCAAATAAAGTCGATGGCATTATACAACTTAATTTATTATATTTAAAATGTTTTAAACTTTTTTCACTGATTAACAGATGTCTGGTCTGAGTCCCAGACCTTCCTCTTGATATGAAACTTGGCAATGCAGGTATCTCTGGTTCTGTCCTTTCTTACATGGGCTTCCTGTGGACAAACTATTATGCACACAGGTAGCCCATGATATAACATCATTTCAATACACCTGTAGTCATCTGCAGGCATCTCTGTCTCTGGCCTTTCTTGGACTTCCCTTGGGTGTCTTACCTCTAACTCAATATTTTATAGATATGTTATATTTTAATGGATTTTATTTAATGAGTGTGATGTCATAGGAGGCAATTATATATATATTTATCAAAAGCATTAATAATTCATGAGGAAAACACAACAGAAATCATGACCGTGAAGAGTGTTGTAAATCTGATACAAAAGTGTGTTCATTTGCATAAACTTGGATTTTCTTGGCCAAATTCACTTTAATGTTGAAAATTTTAGTGAAACACAAAGGAACTAACCTAGACGTTTGTAAGTCATATACAGTATTCATGTCCGTGTTGTATCAGATATACAATCACTCGGCTATGCCTTGTGGTTGTATATCTGATACAACACGGACACGAATACTGTATATATTACGTAATATATAATATATAAGTATTTCTGGGGCAGTAAATATCCTGTATAAAACACCATTGTCTTACTAAGGGTAATTTTTTTTATAGAAAGGTTATTGCAAATTTGTTTTCTYGTAGAGTGCGAACAATATATCCGTGAAATATTAGTATTACTAAGTTACACTATTTTATGATAATTCATTTGTTGATTGTTTTCTTTTGTTCAACTAGCACTATTTACAATTTAGTAATTAGTGTTTCACAGATATATTGTTTGGGTCACTCTAATAATCAGTGTTTCAATTTACAAAAAAATGACATAAACTAGAATGACGTCACACTCTTTAACATTTTGGAAGTATAAACCTTGATATCTCCAAGATGCATCACTCATATCATATAAAAACATATTTTACCATTCAACTATTCACTTCATGTAGAATCAGTGCTGAAAATATTAAAATATTGGGTGTCCTAGGCACTTCAAGAAATTAAAAAAGAGATGGGAGACATATTTGGAAGAGAATATGAAAAGAGAATATATACAGCAATTCAAAAAAAGTTGTTGTTGAACAACTCAAGCCTATGCGACTGGACCGAAATTGACTCACAATTGACAGTATAATTTTATCTGGTTGTTTTATCTGATTTATAGTTATTGCTCTGGTTTACAGCAAGAACCTTTGTAGGCTAGTCCAGTGGGTATTTTCAAAATCTTGAACTGAATCATAACTGACTTTGTTTTTCTTTCCCTAAGCCGCTTACTACGGATCTCACTAACTTGTGACAACACGTCAAAAATTTATCTCGCTACCACACCCTAATTCGTCTACTGACACGCCTACTTTGTTACAGCAGTGAGTTCAAGCCTAAAATTGTAGAAACATGGAGATGAATAAATTTGGCCGGAAAAGTGCTTTCAGATAAGTTTCGCTCGCGAATAATTGATGAAATCATTGAAAACGGTTGAGATATTACCACTAGTTTCTTTCCAGGAAAATCTTAACACATCTCTCTTGTACTTTGATTTTAAATCCAAATCTCTACATCTTTCATGTATTACAGGGAATACYTTACTGGCAATGTGCTAGATCCGAGACAGTGACAAAAGTAGGCGTCTTAGTAAACAAATTTGGGTGTGGTAGCGAGACAAATTTTTGACGYTTTGCCACAGTTTGGTGAGATCTGTAATAGGCTTGAGCTGGTTGATGACAACGTTTTTTTAAATTGACTGTATTTTGACACTTTGACAAGTGTGTTTTGGTTCGTAAATGAACGCTCAAGGAAGTAAAAAATTTCTGATGTGTCATGAAGTCCTGCTGCTTGTTTTGACTTATCGCTAACAAGTGAGGCATAGCCTTGATGCAATGCAATGGTGTTGCGTCTCGTAGGGGACAATTGTTCTTTTGTGTAGCACCTGCCTTATGGCAAATTATCTAGAATTAAAAAATAATATAAAGGTGGTTTCTCTTTTTTCAGGCATACTTGGAATTTTTTACAAGTCCAGAGACTGTCTCCATACTTTTAGAGGTCCTGAAGGATTATCCCTTGGTGAACTATCATGTGGTGAATGCTGAGGTAAGAGCTAAATCAATAACATAACAGGAATAACAAATGGTAAGGTGTCAGCAGGTTGATGTAGATGTCAGCAGGCTGATGGTAGGGTGTTAG